GTACCTATTGTAAATAATGTAATTTTATATTGATGTTTAAATTTTAGGCAAGACAAGTACATTGTACATATATTATATAGTATTTGGGATTGTTCCACCATAGTATCAACTGTGGACCTACACTGAAACCAGCACCATAGTCCATAATGAATTCCCAGTTTTACACGACCACAGTTGTCAAGGCTACTGCCCCCAGTTTCAGCGAATCAGGTATCTATATGTTTGTTACTTGCGGATTTAACTTAATGATGGGCACTTCTGAATATTTCCCACTATCGCAAGGAAATTGATAGTCCATGTGAACAATCAAATACCTGATAATATTATAGACTTTTGCCATGTTGTATCATAAATATTTTTTGTTAATAAGTAACCATGACAACAAAAACCTTACGAAAAATCGATCAGAAACAAATAATGTGTATCCAGCTCAAAAATACTATTCATGATAAAATAGTTGAACTGTGAACAATTTAATAAGACAAACTAAAAATGCAAAGAATAGAATGGAAAATATAAACATATACACAACAAAATAAATATCTAATTTGAATTAAATTATGAATATAATTGTAATTAATTAATCATCCCGAAAATATAGGCTTATGGAGAAAAATTTGAATATTGCATTAAATTATTACTCAATATCTATTTGGTAAAATAAATATAAAATCCTTAAAATCAATGTTACCTATACGTTTATGTACACATTATAATTTTTAGATACCTGATATTTTTGTTTCCCCAAATGTGCCGGAATATATTATTTATTTATTTAACAAGTGTGGTTTTTTTTTATAAATTTAGGATTTTTCATCTCACCAACACAACTCAATTTGATCGTTACAAAATTAAATTGCATAGAAATATATCTGATTAATGAATATGGTCTCTTGTTACTATCAGAAACGGAATTAAATGGAAAAATTGAAATAATGAAAGTTTTTAGACCTAAAGTATGATGAATGATGATGAATCATTTTAAAACTACTAGATTCAAATGAATAAGATTGTTATTATCATTTTTATTTTTCAGAACAAAAATACAGACCTTGTATTTGTAGTAACGGCTGAATATAATGTAATGATTTTAGAATTTATTCAGGCATCCGATAAAATTGAAATAATAACAAAAGGTCATTGTAATGTATTTGATCATTTTGGGGTTGCAACAGAATCTATGGCCAAAATTGATCCTAATGCCAAAATAGTTATGGTAAAACTATTTGAACACATTTTTAAAATCATACCTTTAGATAAAGAGGGTGAACTTGAAGTATATTCTATAACGTAAGTTATGTCTTATGTGAATGCATATATTAATTAGTTGATTATTTTAAAAATAAGGTTTTTTAAAAATCGTATGTTATTACTAATTTCTTATATCAGATGTAATATTCTACTATCATAGGTTTTAATATAAGCAGATTAGATATCTTCTGATAAAAAGTAAGGAATTGTTTATGGGGAAATTCCATCATCTTCCAAAGGGTATTACAACACGGAAACATTGTCCTGATACACGGAAAAATATGGATTATCTGTTATATATCATAGCTTATTTGTCTATTTTAAAACTAATGTTATTTATATTATTAAGTATTAACAGTTATAGTATGTTTGAAATTTAGATTATTATGCTTATTATAAAAATCATATGTTTTTTTCTAGAACGGAAGAAGCAAATATACGAGATTTTAGTTTTTTGTATGGTTTTATTAACCCTACTATTTTAATTATTCATGAAAATTCTAAGGGCCGAAATATTAAAATTAAAGAGATTATTGTTGATTTTATAACGTGTTTTGAGGTAATTTCCTTTTTAATTTCCCACTAATTTATTAAGTTAGTTGTAACTGGATATTACAATGTATACAAACTGCATAATACAATATATTATATATTGACTAGGATTCTCGGAAGTATAAAAGTGTTGAAAAAGAAGCTTCAATGATCATTCCTGTTCCTGCTCCTCTTTGTGGAGCTATTATTATTGGTGAAAATTCAATTTTTTACCATGATGGCTCCTTTAATATTACTCATCTTCCCATAAGACAGGTAAACTATTTACTATTCTCAACTAAACATGATACATTATATATTTTTTATATATGTCATATTTTCAGAAAATTGATATTGTATGTTACACTAGAGTTGATTTAGAAGGAACTAGATATTTACTTGGAGACCATTCAGGATATTTACTTATGTTATTTTTAAAGTATGAAAAAACATCAAACAGAACATTTAAAGTTACAGATCTAAACATACGTTATTTTGGTTGGTTAAACAATAATGTTATTACTATGGAATAAAAATAGAACAAAAATGTTTTTCAGGAGAAATTAGTATACCCATATCACTTACATATTTAGGTAACAAAGTAATTTATGTTGCATCTAAATTTGGAGACTCTCAACTCATTAAATTACATTATGAATTTAATCAAACTGGTTCGCATATTACAATATTAGATCAATATCTTAATTTAGGACCAATTGTTGACATGTGCTTAGTTGATATTGACCACCGTGGTCAAGAACAAATAGTTACTTGTTCAGGTATGTTTAGTAGGTATTATTTATTTAAAAAGAAGGATGTATAAATAATGATCTATATCAAAATTTTTGTACTATTAATTTTTAGGAGCATTTAAAAATGGATCTCTTAGAATTATAAACAATGGAGTAGGGATTCAAGAAATAGCCACAATTGATTTGCTTGGAATTAAAGGGATTTGGCCTCTAAGTTTTAATACTAAAAGTGATCTAGATGATACATTAGTATTATCATTTGTTTGGCATAGCAAAGTGTTGGCATATGATAGTGAAGAGGCTGAAGAAATATATGTTGAAGGTTTTGAATCTGAATTACAAACAATTTACTGTGGTAAAACATTAGATAATAAGATGGTTCAAATAACATCAGCTAGTGTTCGGTTAATTTGTATGGAATCAAAAAAATTAATATGTGAATGGAAGGTACCAGGTTTCAGAAATATTAGTGCTGTATCATGTAATGGTCGTCAAGCGGTTTGCTCTTCGAAAAATGATCTATTCTATTTAGAAATTGGATCACAGCAAATTTTTCAAAATAAGTAAACAATTTATATATATATATAATTATATACCTACATTTAATATTTGGTATTAATTTTTCTTCAAAACATGTTAATAGGCATATTACATTAGAACATGAAGCATCTTGTCTTGATATCTGTTTATTTAAAGACAAGTTTGGTGAAACTATAATTTTGCTTGCCATTGGTTTATGGACAGATACCTCTGTTAAAATACTTAAACTTCCAGATTTTAAAGAACTTGTAAAAGAACCTTTATTTGAAGGTAATAAATAGTAATAATCAATCTATAGCATTAAGTTATATTAATTCAGTAAAAAATATGCACCATAATACATTTTGTATTAGTAATCACAGATAAATATATATAATAAAAACTTAGGCAAACATATACTGCCGTGTAAAAATGAATCTAGGTATATAAAGTATGATATTACAAACAATGTGTCAAGTATTCGTAAAAAAATAATATTTAAGTTAGATTAGGTTGTATTTTACATATATTTATATTAAGTTATATAGAACAAGTTAGGTTATATTTTTATTCAATTTATTCTTTAATTTTTTAGGAGTTGTTCCTCGATCGGTATCTTTTATTACATTAGAAAATATACAATACTTATTTTGTGCATTGGGAAATGGGAGCTTATGTTATTTTTACATAAATGTTGAAACTGGTAAATTATATAAAAATGGAAAGGTTTGTATTAAGAATTCAAATTTACCTTTTACCTAAATAATTAATTTAAACTCTTGAATTTTTATTTCAGATTAAACTTAGTAATCGCCCGGCTTTAATCAAAAAGTTTCAAGCTGCTTCAAGTATTTTTATATGTTCAGATTACCCAATTAAAATTCATTCTTCTAATAAAAAGCTGATTTTTACCAATGTCAATTCAATAAAAGTCAATGATATAAGTATGATTAATACAAATAGGTATCCCAATAGGTAAAGAAACTTAATTGTTACTCAAACTATTAAATTATGAAATTTAATTTAAATTTATTTATTTTAAAATAAAGTTTGATTCTGGCTACAGACACCGCCATTATTATTGGTGTTATTGATATGGAAGAAAAACATCATGTGCGAACTATTCCCCTAGGAGAATCTCCTCGGCGAATTGCATACCAAGAAGCAAGCAAGGTGTTTTTAACCAGAAATATTGTTGTTGAATTGAATTTTAATTAATTTTTTTATTAGACATTTGGCATAACAACTATCAGAAAAAATATTAAAGATGAAATGATAATAGGATCGGTTCAGCCTAGTGCTAGTACTAGAACACAGAATATTTCTAGTGCAATGGAAAATCGTTTTCTAATTGATCAACAATTGTCAAACAATATTAAAGCAAGTTCATTAAGTGACAGTGATTTCGATCCTGCATTTGACATAAGCAGTATGATTATATTGCATCAAGATACTTTTGAAAGTAAGTTATTTTATAATAAAATAAAAAATCAAACATAAATTAAATTGTATTTATTTTATAATACATGAAATGTACATATAGGTTTACATGTATATCAATTATATTCCAACGAATATGCTTTAAGTATCATATCAACTAAATTGGGAAATGATCCAACTACTTATTATGTATTGGGAACAGCTTTTATGACAGAAGGGTATCAAGATCCTAGAGCTGGACGAATTGTTGTATTCTATTATAATTCTTCTGTATCAAAATTGACACAAATATCAGAAAAAATGGTTGATGGTGGTTGTTTTAGCATGGTTACATATCATGACATGCTCATTGCTACAGTTAATAGTTCAGTAAGTTAAATAATATATACTCAAACATGCAAATAAATTAAGAAATTATTTTAATTATTGGGCTTACAATATAAAACAATACAACATAATGGGTATAACTTTTAAATAACAATAGTCAATTGACCATTTTTCAATTTAAATAGAATTTTTGAATATTTTTCTGTGGATTAATGTCATGTTCAATGTGTAAAAATATTATACAAAGTATGCAGTACATACATATTTATATGTTTGTATAAATACATCAATCAATGTTCTTATTTATTGAACTTTATTTGAAGGTTCCACTATTTTCTTTTTCCTATATGATTTATTATTGTTTTTAATTATTAATACCTACCTTTATATATTTAGTACCTATTTATATAATTTAATCCCACATTGATTACATTTATAGTTTTTATTGCTGTTAATTAAATAATACCTGATGGAATTGAGAATTGCACTGAGGCCTCATCGCTTTGAAATAAATTTGGAGTTTCTGATATTATGAATATAAAAATATCATAAATGGCAATAAGGCATAAACATTCTAGCCAGGACTTTGCTTTTTTATAGAAGAGCCCAATAATATTTGTATAGGAAAAGCTTACTACTAGAACCCTTCATAAATGTGGTATACTAATACCATTGTAGCTATAAAGTATTATTGACTTTTGCACTAACCTTAATAATACAAATCACAATTTTAATTAAAAAATTTTTATTGATCAAAAAAATGGATACATTATTTGTTTACAATATATCGATCTTTAATTGATTAAATGTAGAAAAAATGTTTATAATTATTATTTAACATGAAATTGCAGTGATTTATCCATCTCCTTAAAGCAACCTTTTGATGACAATAAATAAAGAGTTATACTTGTTTTACAAAAAAATAAATTTAAGGTCTAATCATATCCAAATAAATAATAAATAATAACGAGATACATCTCAAAACATATAAAGAGTTTTGCTAATTAATGCGTAACATTACTACAGTCTACAACTAGAAGAGAACTAAGATAAAAAATACAAACATAATTGAATTCAAACAATTTTAAAATTTAAAAAAAAAGGTTTTAAGCAATTATAATACTAAAATTATAAATTAATTAAAATATTATTATTCTATACTTAACATTAGACACCTTTTGACACACTTCTTTGCAGTGTTATATGAAATGAGCAAATATTTATCTTAGATTCAAAATTCATAGAATTAAAACATATAAGACCAAGGTAGTCTAGAAATCGTTGACCAAAACTAGTTCTTACATAGTTTACTGTTGTGTCATATGCTCAAAAATGTATTTTGTTTCCTACCTCGTATTATTTAAAAACTTATCTAAGTTTTTCACCAGCCACAGGATTTCAAGTTTTTTGCTCTCTGAGTTCCATATAATTTTGTAGAGTAGAACCAAATAGGCCAATGGCGACTAAGTATGGCCCTTGGGCAAAATTTGGGCCTCAATAATTTATTAATAAACCCACAAATGTATTAAAATTAAATCAATATTGAAAAAAAATTACTAGAAATATAATGTTTGTACAATTTAGTATAAATTAATATTTCCCATTTCTTATCTTCTTAACAATAGTACCTGTATTAAGATGTGACAAAATAAAGTATAATATTCTATTCAAGCTTAAATTCTTGGCCTTCAATAAAAAAAATGTTGGTTACCACTGAACTAGACTATGCTTTTCCAGACAAATTCCAATTACCTTGTTCTGCTGTACTTTGAATGGTTTTAAAGCATATTCAGAGAGACTACTTCATGCTTTAATAGTATACTGGAAAACAGCCCGATATAGGGTTGGATAACATAGCGAATACAATTCTTTGATGTATTAATTGAATTAAGGAAATAAAATGTATGTAACTGTTGAGCGTAATGCCATTACCAGATTATACTGACGCATACTTCGCATTTTAAATGTTGTACATTGTCCCATGAGTAATCCGAGAAAAGTAGACAAGTGCCGTTTGCATATATTGTGATTTCCCCATCTATACTCATATTACAAATGCTATTTATATATAAACTAAAAAATATTGGTTTATAGTAAAATATATATATTATTTTATTCTGCCACCAAGAACATCATTTGTATTTACCATTTGAGACCATCAGAATTCAAAATCCAGCTCTGATCACTACCTGTTAGTTTGGTAATTTAAATATAACGGATTTATAGGTGCAACTATATAGCTGGAGTCATGAAAAACAATTTGTTCTTCAATGTACACAAAATAATAGCAGTATATCTCAGCAAGTTAAAACTAATGGACAATATATTCTTTGTGGTGATATAACAAAATCATTAGCACTATTTAAGTGCAAAATTGATGAAATCAATTTAGAAAAGGTAATTTAAGTTAGAGAGTGTAATTATTAATAAAAACCATGAACTAAGATAAAAAATAAAAATTTTTTTTGTTTATGTTATGCACATAGATAGTTACAGATGATTGTCTAAAATGGACATCCGCCATAGAGATTATTGACGATGATTTATTTATGGGAGCAGAAAATGATAAATATTTATATGTTTTTTATAAGGACAGGTATTTCAAACTTTTCAACTATGGTTATCTGTTTATGCAATTAATTTTTCGTAAAAATTATAAATGTAATTTTTTTTTAGTAATTTTGGTTCTAGTAATTTTCGACAGGATCATTTTCAAGAAATTGGTCGATTCCACTTGGGTGATTTAGTAAATGTTTTTAGACATGGTTCATTAGTTATGAAACAATTTGAAAATGCCTATGAAACACAGTTGTCAGTTCAAGGAAGTACTTTTTACGGCACAATTAGTGGAGCTCTTGGTTTGTGAAAAATAATTTGATACAATTTAACATGTTTTTTTAAATTTTATTTAGAGTTTAGAGTTTTAGACCTTAATTTTTTATACACATTGGATTGAACCTTAAAAGTAATAAAAACACTACACTTAGTAAAACAAAAATAGTATGCTTTAAATAAGTATTAAAGGTTGGTGAAAGTCTAACAATAATTAAATATGGGTACTGATTTAAAAACATAACAATATTAATTTTAAAAAAAACTTTATAAAAATACCTATTTAAACTTAATGTAACTACCTAATAATTGTATATCTTGGCTCTTGGGTTATCATATATTCATAAGCCAAAACTATATTTCAATATTCAATGCTAAAATTATCAACTTTTAGGGAGGTTCCTGGAAGAAAATGGGATCTAGTTTGTACCTACTTAGGTTAGTCAAAATTAGAAATTGTTCAGTACTTTCTAAAATAATCAGTGAGGGAGGGGGGGGGGGGAGAATACAAACATTTGTTATAACTTATAAGCATAATTATTCTTAAAAAACATTTAGACTGTCTCCACTCATTTTGTATAATATACAATGATTGATCAATGAATTCAAATTTAACACATCCATTATAGTGACCAGCTCAATGACATGGTACAATGGACACTTCTGTTTAGCTGTTCCACAGAGCGGTTACCTACTTGATAGATTTTTTCTTTACTTAATTTTACGGTATTTAGTTTATTGTATATCATAATATTTAGTTGCATGCCTGTATGTGAATTCGTAGATATAGTATTATTTCCCAAATACCTAATTTACATATTATTGACAGAAAATGTAACACAAACATTTTTACTATCGAAGTCTCTTGGATAATCTAATAGCCTTACTAGTATTATTATTAGGTTTCCCTGCACTGCAACAATTTTTTTTTTCATGTATTGAAAATTTAGAACATGTGTTTCCGAGATAAAAATATTACCAAATTTGTCATCTTTTCGTATAGTAAATAATTGAACAGCTTTTATTGTGTTTTTCATTACATTTATATTATCATCCTTAGACCTATAAAAGGTTTTGAAATTGTTTTGCTTCATTTCTATGTAATCTTACTTGAAGATCAGAACAAATACTAGTCTCACATTTGAAGTGTTCTAGTTCTACATAATTTTTTATGTACTTACTTATTGAAGGAAAAATGTTGCAATAGGTAGATAAAAATACCATTATTATTTTCTTTTTTCTAATTTTCAACTAAGTATTTTTGATTTTTATGTTTTCCATTCATACTATCATTATTTATGCAATTATATTATTAAAACTTTGTTTTTTACTAATAGGATAGTCATAGTTCCAGTGGTAAAATAGTATTTTTATTGTTTGCAGGCTACCTGTTCGACATTTGTTGTTTTAATTGTCAAAGTGAATTTAGTCTTGAGATTTATGTGAGTGTTCATGTGTTATTTCTACATGGTAACTATATTATTAAATTATGGAATGAAAAAAACTATAAATTATTGCTATATGCACAGTGTACCACTTTAAATTTTTGTAAACCTTTGAACATTTTAAACATTTCAATTAATTAGTATATCTACTTTTAATCTTATTGTAAAGCATACTATTTTGGTTTGTTTATTTAATTTTGTACACAATAAAAACAAATATTTATTTGATATTGCCTTAATTTTCTTTTTAAATTCTATGGTTGTAATTATTTGTTGTAAACTAAACAGGATTCATCACAAAAATGAGTCCAAAACTGTTTGGCTTCCTGACAGATTTTCAAATAAGTATAGCTACTGTTGTTAATGGAACGAGAATGATACCCAATCACCATCAAACAGAATTCACAAAATCTAACAAAGGGTTTTTTGATGGGAATTTAATAAAGAGTTTTTTAAAATTGCCCATTGCTGACATGGAGTTAGTTATTAAAGGACTAAAGGTAAAAGGAATATTTGTTACAATACAATTATTTAATTCTGAATAGATGTTTCAGGAAATTGTTCCCAAGTTATTAAATGTTTCAAAGGTAATTTATTAACTTACCTTTATAAAAGCTATTTTAAACATAACCCAGGTTCATGCATTCCAATTATTTCACAATAACAAATTTTCAGAACAATAAAATGTAACCAAAGTTACCACCATTTCACCACAGTGTCATCTTAGTTTATGTCTATTAAATTTTTAATGATTTAAATAACAATGCAGTAGGAACCTACCAGCTTATGTTTCTAGATTTGTCAAAAAAAATAAACACTTTTGATGTTTGATATGTCTTCCTTTTGAATCATTGTACTTTATGCAATTCTCTAAAATTACACAATAAAATAGTGAAATTTATATTACTTTTTTGAATATTGCAAATCATTTTACAATTAAAAAAATTATGAAAGAAAGAATTATAAATGTGGATTACATAGGTATTTTAAATTAGTTTGGTTAAATTTAACTATTTGCTTATTGATTGATAAGTACCTACCTATGTAATCTTTAATTGTTTCATGATGTAATAGTATTAATACATACAACTGTATGTGACCTTTTTTTAGGGATCATATGATTGTGAATTCCAGAAAATATTAGAACAGACGGAGATTGGTATTAAAGATGTAACCAATCTCATTGAAGATTTAACTAGGTTATATTAATTTATGCTATATAATCTATCCAAAAAAATGTAATAGTACTGGTATAGTGTTTAATATTATGATATCATTTATATCCTTATTATGGGAAATAAAGGATATTTTTCTAATAAGTATAACACATTTAACATATTTACCTATTTAGTAATATATTTAAGTTATATAACATTTTTTTTTTTACCTAGCTGCACTACTGAGAAAATATGTATATAATATAATTACAAGTTTAATGTAGCATCTAAAAATGTTATTAGTTAGGATTAAAAAGTAATCAAAAAAATTTAAATACTTAATTAACACAAAAAAATATATTTAAATAGGTCTATGACTAGACATAATAATTTTTATTTATGATTGAAATTGTTGATGATTTTTAATTTTTTTAATTTTAAAATTATTTATTATATTTATTTTAAATATTCTTTTTCCCAAGCTAAAAAAATGTCAAGTGTGTGTTACTTTTTAATTACCTATCTATAGATATAAAGATTGTAAAGATGAACTATAAACAATCTCTAAGCCTCAAGACGTCTTGACTTCATATTGAAATTGCAGATAAACTAATAGGGGTTAAAAATTGTGACAAAATATCAAAATTATAAATTAAAATTATTGTAACCAAATCCAATTAGCTATAATATTATATGTAACCAGTGCCATTTATATAGAAAAAAAAAATGCTATATTTTAGTGATTTTTTTTATTACTATAAAAGGAAATAGGTAACCAATGGCAAACCATTTATATACGAAAATCCTGAAGAAAAAAGACTTTTAGTTTTTCCTGAATTTTCCAATTTCTGAATCTAGAGCAATTTTTCCAATTTTTCAGCATATTTCTTGACTAATTGGAGAGTATTATTTTAATGTATAAGTTGTATTTATTATAAAGATAATTATTGTATTACTTATATAGATAATTAGGTGTAGATCTTACTTTCAATTAATACTTATTAAAATTGTTTTGTTGATTGTAGGTACTTATAACTAAATGTATATTAAGTAGATATGTTGAATAGGACTTAAGTTATCATTGACATTGATTTTTTATTTAACAATTATACTTTTACACCTGTTTATTGACTAACTATAATTAATATTATTATTCATATTAATCATATTATTACAATACAAGTACAAACAATTTAAACATATATACAAATTACAATTAAAGTATTCAATTTTTTTTTTAACGATATTTGCTCAATATATTATCAAAGACCAAATATCAGGTATGGCAAGAAAAATGTCCCAGATACTAAATTATCATATTAAATTATCTATTATTTTAATGCTCAGATATCTTAAAAATTCTGTATTCTATTAATGCAAATATAATATAATAAATATAAATGATTTTGTACCTTGTTATTATACAGTTTATAACAGAATCAAATAAAGACATTTATGTGCAATACATTATAACATAATATGAGCAATTCTATGAACATGTAAAGGAAAAGTTTTTTTTTGCGTCATTATTGTTGTAATACTTTTGTGGATAATTAAGTGTACCTATTTACTATTTATTTATACTATATTTTTTACATTAATTAAATGGGTACCTACTTGATACCTAACTTACGATAAATTAAAGATTTACAATGTCATATTTATGTCCTAATTTTGAATGTTTGTAATGTTTATTGTGAAACAATTTATTTATTTAAAATTATTTGAGATAAATAAATATATAAGTTTGAACAGTAATAATCTTATTATTATATTAAATTTTTTTTGGTGATATGATGATGTTTTTTAAATTTCTTCTGATGCTTTTCTCAAACTTGTTTTTAAATACCTACCACTTAGGTATCAGTTATGTAAATGAATAAACTTATTATTATGATAATTCATGTTGATGAAAAAAATTTTGTTTTAAAAAGATACTCAATTTTAGATTTACACAGTTAATTTTTAAGCACGGAAAAAAATTCATGCAAAGTTTTTTATACAATACATACGTTTCATGGATTTTAGAATTTGAATAAGAAGTTACAAATTCTGAGCGGTTATTGAGATATTTACTTTTATATGTCTGTGTACTCAATAAATAATCGAAATAGTGATGATCAAAAAAAATTATCGTAGAAACATGATTATTTACGAAATATTTGTCTGATATTTTCTTTGTATGTGAAATATTTTGACACTTTTTAGATCTAAGAAATTTTCTATTATTATTAGATAAAAAATATTTTGTTCGGGCATAAAACTCGAAAATGTAATACACGATTTCTCATTCATTATTATTAGTGTATTTAGAAAACAAAATTGAGAGTGGATTATTTTATACCATCCCACTGTTAATAATTTATATAAAACTGTATTACTCTACATTATTTTCATAATAAATTATGAATTTTTATATGTTACTATTCCTCAATATTACTTCAATGGTTGGTCCGGTTTTGCGACCGGACCTGTTGTCTAACCAAAAATAATTTCAAAACTAGTTATATTATAGTTTTTAACTTTGTATAGCATAAATAAAATTAAAAGCTCAGTAAAATAGAGCATTGTATAAGTGTACGAATGCATACGTAAAAATCCTAGGATCAGAAACTTTATTATAGCCTATAGGTACTATAACTTCAAAATTAAGTTCAATTGACAAATTAGAATTGCACCATCGTCCATTGATCTTAACTCGCTGAAGTAGGTCTATAAGTTTAAAAAATCAATATTCTATATAGCTATGGACGCAAACTAGAGTAATGTGCAAATGAGTAAAAATCGCAAAACAGCAAACTTCATTGGATCATAACTTCGAAACTAAGTCAGACACCAAAATTCTGACTTAACCATTGTTTTTATTTTACCTTAGGTACTACATAAAATAAAGAAATTATTTTTAAAAAGTAGGTTAAGTAAAGCAACCTAAGTGTGTAATATGTTTTATATTTGTAGATGTATAGGCACTATCACTAGATCTTACTACAATCCATAAAATTATAGAATTTATTATAGAATTATAAAATTATTTTTGAAATTGCATAACAATATAATTAATTCTTATTGAATATTGTACATTTGTACTTATCAACCGTTACCACAACAGGATAAATAAGTATAATAAAACCAATAAAAAAAGAATACTTACCATAGGTACTAGTACTTAGTAGCACATACATTATACTTTATTTAATGCACTGAGAAAATAAATATTGTTTTAATAACTTGTTTCAAAATTATAGACACATTAATATATAATTAAAATTAATTATCCATCTTTAATATATCGGAAAAAATTAAGTTTATTAGAAGTAAAAGTGTTGAACCCTTTTTAAGGTATAAATAGGCAATACAATATGCAGTATTGCGATGTCCAACCTATCAGGATAGGATAAGTCGTAAACACTGACATCTAGAGAGCATTAATGATATTTATTATTATTATTAAGGCTCTCTACTAACTTCTATATTATTATAATATTAATATAGATTGTGGTGATAATTAAGTGGATCATAGACATTTATGACTTATTCTATTATATATTTATATGTCTATGAACTAGATCATTGTTCACAGAGTACAGACATGAATTTCATCGTACGAAAAATTGTTAACTTCACACAGTTGGGAGGTCATTGCTCTGTGCTTTTATGTTATTATTTTTTCTCGCCGAGTGCACGTATTCTCTTATGGCATAATCGAACATTCGCATAAGTGGAAAATGGATAACGAATACCTGAAAAAGACTGTCGCTATTCTGATAACAATTATAATCATAATGATGATAACAATCGTCGGCGAGCCGCCGACTACAGTGTTGTTTGTTGATACTTGATAACGAACGCGTTCCTGTGCACGTGCGTTGGATTGTCGTCGGTTTTCGCTCTTAATTTGCTTGTTGCGCCCATCATTCGCAAGAAAGACAAGTAGTGTTCAGGTCAACGAGCTCTATTCACAGGCAGAACGGTATTAAAAGCATCGCCGTACTGAGCGATGTCGTCCAGTAAAATATTCTTACAGAACCGAGCTCTCGGTGAGTACTATTTTCCATTTTTATTTTTCACGTGGCCTTCACGACGACGACATTGACGTGTTTGCAGCGTTATTCATTCTGTTTGATTAATAATCGTTGTTCTTCGTAAATGGTGGTTACCGCTCTAGTTACATATGAAAACATTCGATTCAAATGGTCTCCGAGCACTTCCTTTTTCCGCTTGCCATCGTATACACTGTTAAATGCTCTTTGCATGTGATATAATGTAATATATTTTTCTTCGTTTAATTAATTTATGTCCATCAATCATTAATATTATTAATAACCCTATGATACAGAACACTAAAATAGCGCTGTATTTTTGTTAACGACAATGATTACTTTTTATGATTACCGATAGGGCCCAAAGAACTACACTGTATAATACTTATAAATACAGAACAAATTTAAACATGCATTACAATGTATTTGTTTATGTATTTGTTTTTAAATTTAGAATAAATTATAGTTCATCAACATCATGCACTTCAAATATGAAGCAATTACATCAATAAATGCGGAACATACTTTAAGTTGTTTTATAAATATTTTAAGACCTACCTAATAAAGATTTGACATTCAAGTTGCTTAGAGAACTTATATTTCAATACTGTTATTTGAATAAGAAATTACTCAACGTTTATACTTTCCAGTTTTATTGTTTTGTACTTTTTATTCATATTATAAATAGTTCTCTTTAATGTATTTTCCATAAATTTTTTTACTTAGGGACCCACCTACACTTACATTTTTTCTATACATATTTTATAAATTAATCTTCCATAGGTACCTATTTATGCACATATTTTTTTATTTTAATTATGATAAAGTCCGTTTTCTACTGATAAACAACAGTGGCATTACTTCTAGTGTTGTTAATGATTTCATTTGAATGCATATCATAATATATTACAGCTTTAAAATGTTGAGTTTTTATAAAACCTACCTAAATATTATATAATAGACCTTAATAGAATAAATTATTTTTATTCATTTTCTAAGATGGTACCTATTGTTAGAATAGATTTTATTTTTTGTTTAGCTTACTAAATCTATTTAATTTCACAAAAATGTGCTTATTTGTAAATAGGTAATAATATTTTCACTAAAATACAATTTTTTTGGCACAAAAATATTTTAGTATCAAG